GCACTCGGACCGGCCTGCTGGTTCGATTTAGGAGGCGCGCACATCACCCACCGCTTCCAAGTATACTACTCGCTACTGTTCAGTCTTCGGTTAACAAGATAGACGAACTCCGGGCAAGGATTTCTTTCCAGAGAGACATCAGGGCCTGTAACATACTTTGTTTCACGGAAACATTCTGTTGAAATCGGTCCAACTAGAGGGGTTCTCAGTTCATCGCGCAGACAGGAATAAATATCTCTCCGGGAAGCAGAAGGGCGGAGGTGTGTGTTTCATGATTAACGACTCATGGTGTAATTGTAGTAACATAAAGGAACTCGAGTCATTTTGTTCACCCAACCTAGAATTTCTCAAAATCAAATGCCGACCGTATTATCTCCCAAGATAATTCTCTTCGGTTATAGTCACGGCCATGTATATCCCCCCTCAAGCCGATACCACGACGGCCCTCAAAGAACTTCACTGGACCTTATGCAAACTGGAAACCACATATCCTGAGGCTGCATTTATTGTAGCCGGGGATTTTAACAAAGCTAATTTGAGGACTAGGCTGCCGAAGTTCTATCAACATATCGACTGTTGTACTCGCGCTGCTAAAATCCTCGACCGTTGCTATTCGAACTTCCGAGATGGTTATAAGGCCACAGTGGAGAAGGTGGAAAGCTTCAAACTGAAATGGTCTTATACCCACGCAGACAGTGTGGTGAAGAAGGCGCAACATAGCCTCTTCAACCTCAGGAGGCTGAAGAAATTCAGCTTGGCACCTAAAACCCTCACAAACTTTTACAGATGCACAATTGAGAGCATCCTGTCGGGCTGTATCACCGCCTGGTACGGCAACTGCACCGCCCGCAGCCGCAGGGCTCTCCACAGGGTGGTGCGGTCTGCCGAACGCATTATCGGGGGGCAAACTACCCGCCCTCCAAGACACATACAGCACCCGATGTCACAGGAAGGACAAAAAGATCATCAAGGACATCAACCACCCGAGCCACTGCCTGTTCACCCCGCTATCATCCAGAAGGCGAGGTCAGTACAGGTGCATCAAAGCTGGGACCGAGAGAATGAAAAACAGCTTCTATCTCAAGGCCATCAGACTGTTAAATAGCCATCACTAGCACATTAGAGGCTGCTGCTGCCTATTGAAATCACTGGCCACTTTAAGAAATGGAACACTAGTCACTTTAATAATGTTTACATATCTTGCACTACTCATCTCATATGTATATACTGCTTTCTATTCTATAATATTCTTCTGTATCTTAGTCCATGCCGCTCTGTCATTGCTTGTCCATATATGTATATTTTCTTAAATTCCATTCCTCACTAGTTTTGTGTGTATTTGTGTGTTGTGAAATTGCTAGATATTACTTGTTAGATATTACTGCACTGTCGGAGCTAGAAGCACAAGCATTTCGCTACACCCGCTATAACATCTGCTAAACACGTGTATGTGATTTGATTTGATTTTGTTGCAAACAGTATGCATGTTTTGGATATTTTAATTTTTTTCAGGTTTCCTTCTTTTCACTCTGTCAGATTAGTATTGTGGAATTACTACAATGTTGTTGATCGATCCTCAGTTTTCTCCTTTCACAGCCATTAAACTCTGTAACTGTTCGGCCTCATGGTGAAATCCCTGGTCATGGTGAAATCCCTGGTCATGGTGAAATCCCTGGTCATGGTGAAATCCCTGGTCATGGTGAAATCCCTGGTCATGGTGAAATCCCTGGTCATGGTGAAATCCCTGGTCATGGTGAAATCCCTGAGCTGTTTTGTTACTCTTCAGCAACTGAGTTAGGAACGATGCCTGTATCTTTGTAGTGACTGGGTGTATTGACACACCATCCAAAGTGTCATTAATAACTTCACCGTGATGAAAGGGATATTCAATGTCTGCTTTTAATTCTTCTCCCATCTACCAATAGGAGCCCTTCTTTGGACAACACTACAGCTTACTGCTATAGGGGACAACACTACATTGGAAAACCTCCCTGGTCTTTGTGGTTGAATCCGTGTTTGAAATTCGCTGCTCGACCGAGGGACCTTACAGACAATTGTATGTCTGAGGTACAGAGATGAGGTAGTCATTCAAAAATCATGTTAAAAACTAGTATTGCACACAGAGTGAGGCCATGCAACTTATTATGTGACTTGTTAAGCACATTTCTACTCCTGAACATATTTAGGCTTATCATAACAAAGGGGTTGAATACTTATTGACTCAAGACATTTCAGCTTTTCATTTTTTATTACATTTGTAAAAACTTTGAAAAATATAATTACACTTTGACATTATCAGGTATTGTGTGTAGGCCAGTGACATAAAATCTGAATGTAATCCATTTTCAATTCAAGCTGTAGGGGTGTGAATAATTTTTGAATGCACTGTAATTAGTTTTGATCGCTTTACACATTTATTTTGGGATCCACCCCTGTAAACGTCATTTATTTTGGGATCCACCACTGTAAACGTCATTTATTTTGGGATCCACCCCTGTAAATGTCATTTATTTTGGGATCCACCCCTGTAAACGTCATTTATTTTGGGATCCACCCCTGTAAACGTCATTTATTTTGGCATCCACCCCTGTAAACGTCATTTATTTTGGGATCCACCCCTGTAAACGTCATTTATTTTGGGATCCACCCCCTGTAAACGTCATTAGCCTAATGTCGGGCGAGTGGAGAAGGAGGGTCTCATTTCAAGCGAGAGCATTTCCGTCCACGTTCACTCTCCCTGTTGACTCTCCTCGATTAACTTTTACGTTTCTTTTTTCAAAAAGAGGCGAGAGAGGACGCATGAGGTGAGCAAATCTAATTGATAAAGGGCCCTTGTCAGCTGGTAGGAGCAAGGGATGATGGGTAAGGCCCTTGTCAGCTGGTAGGAGCAAGGGGTGATGGGTAAGGCCCTTGTCAGCTGGTAGGAGCAAGGGGTGATGGGTAAGGCCCTTGTCAGCTGGTAGGAGCAAGGGGTGATGGGTAAGGCCCTTGTCAGCTGGTAGGAGCAAGGGATGATGGGTAAGGCCCTTGTCAGCTGGTAGGAGCAAGGGGTGATGGGTAAGGCCCTTGTCAGCTGGTAGGAGCAAGGGGTGATGGGTAAGGCCCTTGTCAGCTGGTAGGAGCAAGGGGTGATGGGTAAGGCCCTTGTCAGCTGGTAGGAGCAAGGGGTGATGGGTAAGGCCCTTGTCAGCTGGTAGGAGCAAGGGGTGATGGGTAAGGCCCTTGTCAGCTGGTAGGAGCAAGGGGTGATGGGTAAGGCCCTTGTCAGCTGGTAGGAGCAAGGGGTGATGGGTAAGGCCCTTGTCAGCTGGTAGGAGCAAGGGGTGATGGGTAAGGCCCTTGTCAGCTGGTAGGAGCAAGGGGTGATGGGTAAGGCCCTTGTCAGCTGGTAGGAGCAAGGGGTGATGGGTAAGGCCCTTGTCAGCTGGTAGGAGCAAGGGATGATGGGTAAGGCCCTTGTCAGCTGGTAGGAGCAAGGGGTGATGGGTTAGACTATAGGAGGGCAGGGCGAGGTTACCAGGAAGCGGCTGAGACTCTCTTCTCATAATGCATAGAGATAGTTAAGAGGACCCAACATTGTATCTGTCACATTATGTGAGAGCGTGGGCATCTCCATTGAGGCCATCTCCATTTTGAAGTAGTCAATGTTCTTCTTCTACTACTGATCCCTTCTGACAACCTGGATGGAATTATTTGAACCGTCCTTAACTCATAGCAAATCCCACCCAGTTGATTACCTCACAATGGTGAAAGTCCTCCGTTGTGTTTCCCATTGCTGAAACTGGATCTGGGGGGCACTAGAGTCCTCGATCTACCTCTATGTAGTAATGTGACTGTTGCATTGTGGGTGGTGACCTCTAGGCACTTTAGCAAACCCAAACACGGCTTCTGATTTGGTCTGGTGCCGAGGCTTCGGTTCAAGGGAGATAATGGACTCTATTGCCACTGCTTTCGGCTTTGCACTGTCAAGAGCAGCAAAACAGAAGAGGATCAACGGTGCCGGCTATCATGACTGATTTCACCTTCATCTTACTCAAATAGCAAAACAACTGGTTTAAAAACATCCAGCATGACTACCCAGTGTGGCCTCTAAATCATGAGCAGAATTCATGTGACGAGGACCATAGTTTAATATAAAAGGGTTTCTAGTGGCAATAGACAGATACACATCAACATTACATCAATCACCACGACAACACGCTGCATAACAGAGAATATCTGCCAATTGAAAGAAGAAGAAAAAAAATCATAATTAAGAGTTTTTCAGATCAATGTTATTTTCCAGCATGTTGTGTTTGGGTCCGATTTGTTTTTGAAAATTCAAACATGTCAAGAAAGTCTCGAAAGAGAGCAGCGGTGGTAGTAGCCACAATATCATATCCTCCTCCATCCGTAAAAGTCCTTCTTCCTTCCACTCCGTTTGCGTTTGGAAGCAAACAAAAAATGGTCACTGCTGTGTCGGGCCAAAAAATGAAAAGAAGCTTGGCTTCTATCTCTCCTGCTCACATTACTTTCCATTGCAAATCCTGCAGGCATTCTCTTCTCTCTCTCTCTCCGTCTCATAGTCTGTCCTTTTTCCTTCCCCTCTGCCTGACTGCAGTTATGTCTTTGGATACGGCGGCTAGTCTGTCCTTTCTCCTTTGTGTTATGAATAATGCCCACTGTTTGTAGGAAGGGAAGGAAACCCAGTTTGAAAAATGGAAAATGAAACTACTTGGAGTCTCTAAACTGAACAAATCAAAAACGAAGATTAGAAGTTAGGATCCCAAAGTCTAACATACTATGTCCTCCTCACACAAGGATAGGGTCCTTCAGTTCAAGTGGTGTTAAGATCTAGGCCACGTGGCAGGCAACATAGTCCGAACACAAATAACATGGATGGTGGTAGTCTCGTCTTCCACAGCTAGGCAGGCTGGCTGGCTCCGGTGCCCCAATACAGGTCACCTCCGTGGGCCAGCGCCCCTACCCTACTCCCTGGCTTTGGCCTACTCCCGGCCTCCTCAGCTGCACTTGCAGGACTTGACGATCATGTTGGATAGCTGCTCTACTTTGGGGGTGCGTCCAGAGTAGTAGAGGATGGTAAGGGGCTCCAGGTCCTGGGGAACGCAGCAGGGAGACGCCGAGGCCTCTGGGTTCAGAGTGTTATACAGGCTCAGCAGCTGTGGAGGGAAAGAGATGGTGTTGCTGATGTGGAAGCTGAAACGGTAATTAATTTTGCAACTGTCCTGCCAACTACAGAAATAAGCACAAGTAAAGACACAAGCTCTAATAAGCGGTCTTGGCCGATCAGAATCGTAGTTATTATTGATTTCTGTGTATGGTGTTATTGATCATATTGCTGAATCTAATTTAACAGACGCTATTGAGTAGCAAAGGGACTTCTTCTTCCTGCCCTGCCAGCCTGGACGTTTTAGTCATTATGACCACGGTGTAAATCACCTGTGTCCCACTGGGGTAGACGTCAATTCAACATCTATTCCACATAGGTTCAAAGTAATTTCATTGAAATAACGTGGAAACAACGTTGATTCAACCAGTGTGTGCCCAGTGTGGTGTGTGTGTGGTGTCAGATTGCCCTCACCTGTGTGTGTGTGGTGTCAGATTGCCCTCACCTGTGTGTGTGTGGTGTCAGATTGCCCTCACCTGTGTGTGTGTGTGTGGTGTCAGATTGCCCTCACCTGTGGGTGTGTGTGTGGTGTCAGATTGCCCTCACCTGTGGGTGTGTGTGTGGTGTCAGATTGCCCTCACCTGTGTGTGTGGTGTCAGATTGCCCTCATCAGTGTGTGGGGTGTCAGATTGCCCTCACCTGTGTGTGTGTGGTGTCAGATTGCCATCACCTGTGTGTGTGTGTGTGTGGTGTCAGATTGCTCTCACCTGTGTGTGTGTGTGTGGTGTCAGATTGCCCTCACCAGTGTGTGGGGTGTCAGATTGCCCTCACCTGTGTGTGTGTGGTGTCAGATTGCCCTCACCTGTGTGTGTGGTGTCAGATTCCCTCACCAGTGTGTGTGGGGTGTCAGATTGCCCTCACCTGTGTGTGTGTGGTGTCAGATTGCCCTCACCTGTGTGTGTGTGGTGTCAGATTGCCCTCACCTGTGTGTGTGGGGTGTCAGATTGCCCTCACCTGTGTGTGTGTGGTGTCAGATTGCCCTCACCTGTGTGTGGGTGGTGTCAGATTGCCCTCACCTGTGTGTGTGTGGTGTCAGATTGCCCTCACCTGTGTGTGTGTGGTGTCAGATTGCCCTCACCTGTGTGTGTGTGGTGTCGGAGCTCCTCAGGTAGGGGCAGGGTCCAGAGCAGTAGTTAGCGAAGTATCCTTTGGGCTCGTGGATCCACTTCCAGTCCAGGTCCCGACGGAAGTCAATGTAGAGACGACGAACACAGCAGTTCTCCTCAACAGTGCTGGGAAAGGAGCACAACTAACTATGGTGAATCACTCGTACCTTCTCTCATTATTATACAATATAATATAATATGCCATTTAGCAGATGCTTTTATCCAAAGCGACTTACAGACATGCGTGCATACATTTTTTTTGTGTATGGGTGGTCCCGGGGATCGAACCCACTACCTTGGCGTTACAAGCGCCGTGCTCTACCAGCTGAGCTACAGAGGACCACAACAATGAGTTAGGTAGTCAGCTTTGATAACTGTTCAGTTACAATTTTCTTGTTAACACAACATGCTTTAGTTAAGAGTCAGATAAAGCTGCAGCAAGTTATTCAAGTTTATCTTGTTTTGATCAACCAACACATGTTGAATGGTTTGAGATGGAGCATATGGGGAAGTTGGCTGGCTCATTGATCCTTCTTCTGCTATTGCTGTTTATGTTACAGCAGATTTTTACGAGAAATGATTGCTGACTTCTGGTTTACAAACCCTGTAAATTCAAAACAGAGCCTTTCAGGACTGGACAACTCCGTGCCGACATGTGGAAACAGAAGTGAGAACAGTTTCAGTAAGGGTCCTTACGAGAAACAGTAGTTGGTGTCCAGGGCCCGTTTGCGTCTGCGTGGCTGTGCGTCCAGACGGTGGGGAGGGATCATCATGAGGAGGAGGTGAGGTGGGTACTGCTCCTTCTTCTTCTTCAGACGACCCAGGTCCCAACGACCCAGGTCCTCCTCCCCCTCCATCCCTACAGCAGAGAGAGAGAGAGAGAGAGGTCAGAGGTCAGGCAGTACATGTTACACGCCCCAACTCTAACCCAGGTCCTTTGTCCGTAACTTTGGTTCCTTTGCTTCTGTGAGCAAGCTTGTAAATTATGTTGTGACTTGTCATGGCTTTTTTAAATGCAATTGCACTTTTTAATGCCAGTTCAGTTGTCTAAGGGAGAAAGATCCAGATCTGAAAACTACTTCTCAGTATTTTAAACATTGCTAGCAGTAAGGGAGTAAGGGTCTAAGGGAGAAAGATCCAGAACATTACCCGTTATTGGGTGGTAACAACAAACGACTTGATGAGGTTTTCCCGGTCTGAAACGACAACACAAGAAGAGAATGTTATGCCTACTGACCTTTGAACTTGACCTCCAGCACCTCGTTCACATTGTCGACGATGTCACCGTTGGGGTTGAAGGTGTGGCAGGGGCAGTGCACGCTGATCTCCAGACCCAGGTTGGTCTCTGAGAGGAGAGAGGCATCATGGGAAAGATAAGGTCATCTTCACACACCAACTCAAAACGGAAATCTACTGCTTGTGGTTTTTTCTGATTGTTTACTTTTGTTGTTGTTGTATTAGTATGTAACTTGAGTCTGAAACTTGTAACAGTGGAAATGATTTCCTCTTGAAAAACAATCAACGGGCTCACCTCTGTACATCAGCCACTCCCGTACCGTCTCTGTCACATCGAAGGAGACCCATTCTGGCGTTCCCTTGGTCAGCACGTTCTTGGCTCCAATGTAGCGTTGTTTAGCTATGTGCTCGTCTGGCCTCAGGATCTGAAAACCAAGGGTGGGGGAGTTACAGCATATGAAACAATACAATGATCCACTACACTGATATAGAAACACAACAGGTGCTGTTGCAACTCGAGGAGACAGCAGTCTCTATTTCTCAGAAGCCTGGAGATGTGAGAAACATTCGCTATTGAAAAATCACACATTTTAGTCATTTAGCAGACGCTCTTATCCAGAGCGACGTACAGGAGCAATTATGGTTAAGTGCCTTACTCAAGGGCACATCGACAGATTTTTCACCTAGTCGGCTCGGGGATTAGAACCAGCGACCTTTCAGTTACTGGCACAACGCTCTTAACCACTAAGCTACCTGCCGCCCCAGATACACTTTATAAAGATACACTTTATAACCCTCAAATTCCAACCTGGACTTCAAAACCAGTTCCACTGCTTTTTTTAAAATTATTTTTCATTCTTCCCCTCTAATCAGGGACTAATTTAGACCTGGGACACCAGGTGGGTGCAATTAATTATCAGGTAGAACAGAAAACCAGCAGGCTCCGGACCTCGTAGGGGTCAGAGTTGAATACCCCTGCTTTATACTATTACTGCATGTCACCTAATGTCATAGATTATAGAGCAGAGGCTTTTGAGGCTGATATAGCGTTACCCTGCCCAGAGCTCTGAACACATTAAACAGGACACTCCAGCGTTACCCTGCCCAGAGCCAGACCCTGCACACATTCTCCAGGCCTGACGAGAGCTGGAGTTAGGGTCTGGCGGCTGGCTGCCCACCACCAAACCACAGCTGGATTTCACTGGCTGAGGCTCCCTAGCCCTTCCTCAGTTGAAACTGGGAAGTTTGAGAAATGGTTATTTGTGGAATAAATAAGCGACTAGATTTCACGTCAGTGTCAGTAACGGTAAACCTATCTTAAGTGAACTGAACTTGGCAAATTTCTGATTATTTGAAAATTAACAAAGTCCACTACAGATCACGCTCTGTAACAACCAAAAGCTGTTGATTTGTTGATCTGTTTGTGTGATGGAGGTATGTACTGTGTTTCCTCCACCAGGCCTTGCTCTTTTGCTCCCTACCTAAAGTGTTTGACTTCTATCGGTAGTGACTGACAATCGGTGCGTCCCAAATGGCCCTGTACTCCCTTTATAGTGTACTACCCCTGATCAGGGCCCAAAGGGATCTGACACTATATATAAGGAATAAGGTGCCCAGTGGTGATGCCCAGTGGTGGTGCCCAGTGGTGATGCCTGAGGACCTAGAAGTTGCTCCGGGGGGCCTGTGGGTGCCCCGCCTCCAAATGAAACTAGGGGGGAAAGACTGTTAACTGTTGTCAGGTTGAGTTGAAGATCTCTGAAGGACATGGACGGTACCTTTACACACCTGGTAGAGCTCGACCCTCTGTTCATTCCTAATGGCAGCAGAGTTTGGAACCCTCAGAGCTCGGAACTCGGCTCGGAACAGGTTGGTGGAGTTCCTCTCCATCACCGAGACGTTGAAACGGAACACTTTGGAGGTGATTCCTTTAGGACAGTAGGGAAGGTCATCTGTAGCACAGAGAGAGGATCCCACAGTCAGTAACAATTAACTTTAGATTAAGTTACTACAAAGCTTAACCAGTGGACTGGTTGGAGGTGATGACATTGGGAGAGTAGAGCAGGTTGTTGGAGACAGAGAGGAGTCAGTGGGCAGGTTGTTGGAGACAGACAGGAGACAGTAGAGAAGGTTGTTGGAGACAGAGAGGAGACAGTGGGCAGGTTGTTGGAGACAGTAGGGCAAGTTGTTGGAGACAGACAGGAGACAGTCAGGCAGGTTGTTGGAGACAGACAGGAGACAGTGGGCAGGTTGTTGGAGACAGAGAGGAGACAGTCAGGCAGGTTGTTGGAGACAGTAGGGCAGGTTGTTGGAGACAGACAGGAGACAGTAGGGCAGGTTGTTGGAGACAGACAGGAGACAGTCAGGCAGGTTGTTGGAGACAGTAGGGCAGGTTGTTGGAGACAGACAGGAGACAGTCAGGCAGGTTGTTGGAGACAGACAGGAGACAGTAGGGCAGGTTGTATGTAAGGGACAGAGGACAGAGGAGACAGAGGAGACAGGAGGGCAGGTTGTCTGTAAGGGACAGAGGAGACAGAGGAGACAGGAGGGCAGGTTGTCTGTAAGGGACAGAGGAGACAGAGGAGACAGGAGGGCAGGTTGTCTGTAAGGGACAGAGGAGACAGAGGAGACAGGAGGGCAGGTTGTCTGTAAGGGACAGAGGAGACAGAGGAGACAGGAGGGCAGGTTGTCTGTAAGGGACAGAGGAGACAGAGGAGACAGGAGGGCAGGTTGTCTGTAAGGGACAGAGGAGACAGAGGAGACAGAGGAGACAGTAGGGCAGGTTGTCTGTAAGGGACAGAGGAGACAGAGGAGACAGAGGAGTCAGAAGAAAGAGAGTAATGCTCGAACAATTTGGAGGTGGTGTTTTTGGGACGTCTGTAAATAGTAAGAGGAGAATCAGCTCAGTACCAACATGCAGATAGATTACTGTTATATCTTTTTCAAACCTCTCCTCGGGGACCCCCAGACGTTTCACAAATATGTTGTAGCCTTGATTCAAGTAGTCAAGGGCTTTAATGATTAGTTGAAAAGTTGTTCTAGTTCTGGAATACTTTAAATACATAGAAAGGCTGGGGGTCCCAAAGGACAGGTTTGGAAATGGCTGATGTAAGATAGCACAAAGCTTAACCAGTGGACTCCAGACGGGTTTTTCCACAGAAGATGTCATTGCAAAGAAATGTCAGTTTTGGTCAGAGTGAATGAAAGTCCCATGTACATCTAATACCTTTCTCAGACAAGCAATGTATGCCCTCATGACAATAACGTGGTAGAAGACTTCCTAGCCAGTGAGCAAAACTGGTTGAAATGCGTCTTTTCAGCGTCTTTTCAACCAAATATATGTATTTTCAACATCTTTTCAGCATCTTGTCAACAAAGAAAATGTATTTTCATTGTCTTTTCAACCAGAAATATGTATTTTCAACGTATTTTCAAATTATTGTGCTCATAGGATAAGAGCCAGAATGTGGATGTCAGTTTACGTTGAACCACCCTGATAAATCAACAGAAATAGTGGACTTGGTAGATGCTTACACTGCATAGACCAGTAGACACCACATTTCCTCCTCAACGTAGCTCATCTCTTTAGACCAGTAGACACCACATTTCCTCCTCTACGTAGCTCATCTCTTTAGACCAGTAGACACCACATTTCCTCCTCAACGTAGCTCATCTCTTTAGACCAGTAGACACCACATTTCCTCCTCTACGTAGCTCATCTCTTTAGACCAGTAGACACCACATTTCCTCCTCTACGTAGCTCATCTCTTTAGACCAGTAGACACCACATTTCCTCCTCTACGTAGCTCATCTCTTTAGACCAGTAGACACCACATTTCCTCCTCTACGTAGCTCATCTCTTTTCAGGCTCACTTGGCACAAAGAACCCTGCTAAGATTCCTTTCAGTAATAGACTGTCTACTGGCACCTGTAGCTTTCTTTCTATGAACGGACAACAGTTGCTTCCTGAAGCCCCATAGGGCCCTGGTTAAAAGTAGTGCACTGTGTAAGGAAAAGGATGCCATTTGAGACACAGCGAGTAATCATTAACGATGTACCGCAGTCAATGTCCTGGAGCGTCTGTCTTTCCATGGCAACTGGCATGGAATGTGATAACGTGCTTCCGTTATCAGCTGAAGTCACTGGGCTATTTTCTGCCTCTTGACTGAGTTAGAAGCCAGAGGGGGGAAAAAAAGGGAACATTTATTTTCTAAGTGAACTAGCGTCCCTGTTTGGCTTGGAATGACTTCACCTCCCTGGCATTCGGTGTATCAAAAACCCTGCTGTCCTCAGTGTGCTGGGGGTGACCCCTAGATCATTAAGTCGCTTTGGATAAAAGCGTCTGCTAAATGGCATATTATTATTATTTATTATTATATTAATGAGTAGGAGTACTGATTTAGGATCAGGTCCTCTCTGTCCATACAATCTTATTCATTATGATCTAAAAGGGAAAAACAAATCCTATATCAGCACTCCTACTGTGAATTTGTGAATGCGGAGCCAGACCAACACCAGTCCAGACCGGACCAGCCCAGCCCACACCAGTCCAGATCAGATCTGCTCCAGCCCAGCCCAGACCAGCCCTTCCCAGACCCAACCCGGAGCCCGCACTCACAGCCCCTCTGCCCCAACCACATGATGACTTCACAACTCTTACCCTCCGCTCCTCCATCCTTGCCTCGCTATATGCCAGATAGACGTTCCATTCTATAAAAGGAGACTTTTCAAATAACCCTGTCCGTCTTCTGTCTCCCAACACAGCGATTTGCCTTTCTTTGCCCTCCCACCTCCCCTCATTTGCACCTGTCGGGGATTTGAGCCAGTTTAGAGACTTGCCCTTAAATCCGCCAAAGGTCAACAGTTTACCTAAAGGCCTTTCAGCAGAGCTGTCAGGAGCTAACGCGTTTGCCCACACCACATTAAACAGGTGAGGAAGAAATGGAGTGATGGAACTGGCTCGGAGTCAACCGTGGTTCCTCCGAAAGAGAGACTTCTTCAGAACCCTGTTACCAGAGAGAGCGAGAGCGGGAGAGAGAGAGGCACACCTAGGGACCGTATTCCCTATATAGTGCACATAGCTACAGCTATGGGGCAATAACATTCTCAGCAAAAACAGGAAGCCAGTCCTCTCAGTCTCTCACCTCCCTCTAAAACACCTCTCCTGATGTGACTCAAAGTTACTCTGGTCTGGGGAAGTAGTAATAGTAGTAAAAGACTGGAGAGGAAAAGGTCTGGAGAGGTAAAGGTCTGGAGAGGTAAAGGTCTGGAGAGGTAAAGGTCTGGAGAGGTAAAGGTCTGGAGAGGTAAAGGTCTGGAGAGGTAAAGGTCTGGAGAGGTAAAGGTCTGGAGAGGTAAAGGTCTGGAGAGGTACAGGTCTGGAGAGGTAAAGGTCTGGAGAGGTAAAGGTCTGGAGTAGTGAAGGTCTGGAGTAGTGAAGGTCTGGAGAGGTAAAGGTCTGGAGTAGTGAAGGTCTGGAGTAGTGAAGGTCTGGAGTAGTGAAGGTCTGGAGTAGTAAAGGTCTGGAGAGGTAAAGGTCTGGAGAGGTAAAGGTCTGGAGTAGTGAAGGTCTGGAGAGGTAAAGGTCTGGAGTAGTGAAGGTCTGGAGTAGTGAAGGTCTGGAGAGGTAAAGGTCTGGAGTAGTGAAGGTCTGGAGTAGTGAAGGTCTGGAGTAGTGAAAGTCTGGAGTAGTAAAGGTCTGGAGAGGTAAAGGTCTGGAGAGGTAAAGGTCTGGAGTAGTGAAGGTCTGGAGAGGTAAAGGTCTGGAGTAGTGAAGGTCTGGAGTAGTAAAGGTCTGGAGAGGTAAAGGTCTGGAGAGGTAAAGGTCTGGAGAGGTAAAGGTCTGGAGAGGTAAAGGTCTGGAGAGGTAAAGGTCTGCAGAGGTAAAGGTCTGGAGAGGTAAAGGTCTGGAGAGGTAAAGGTCTGGAGAGGTAAAGGTCTGGAGAGGTAAAGGTCTGGAGAGGTAAAGGTCTGGAGAGGTAAAGGTCTGGAGAGGTAAAGGTCTGGAGAGGTAAAGTTCTGGAGTAGTAAAGGTCTGGAGAGGTAAAGGTCTGGAGAGGTAAAGGTCTGGAGAGGTAAAGGTTCTGGAGAGGAAAGTCTGGAGGTAAAGGTTCTGGAGGGTAAGGTCTGAGAGGTAAAGTCTGGAGAGGTAAAGGTCTGGAGAGGTAAAGGTCTGGAGTAGTAAAGGTCTGGAGAGGTAAAGGTCTGGAGAGGTAAAGGTCTGGAGAGGTAAAGGTCTGGAGTAGTAAAGGTCTGGAGAGGTAAAGGTCTGGAGAGGTAAAGGTCTGGAGTAGTAAAGGTCTGGAGAGGTAAAGGTCTGGAGAGGTAAAGGTTTGGAGTAGTAAAGGTCTGGAGAGATAAAGGTCTGGAGAGGTAAAGGTCTGGAGAGGTAAAGGTCTGGAGAGGTAAAGGTCTGGAGTGGTAAAGGTCTGGAGAGGTAAAGGTCTGGAGAGGTAAAGGTCTGGAGAGGTAAAGGTCTGGAGAGGTAAAGGTCTGGAGTGGTAAAGGTCTGGAGAGGTAAAGGTCTGGAGAGGTAAAGGTCTGGAGAGGTAAAGGTCTGGCGAGGTAAAGGTCTGGAGAGGTAAAGGTCTGGAGAGGAAAAGGTCTGGAGAGGTAAAGGTCTGGAGAGGTAAAGGTCTGGAGAGGTAAAGGTCTGGAGAGGTAAAGGTCTGGAGAGGTAAAGGTCTGGAGAGGTAAAGGTCTGGAGAGGTAAAGGTCTGGTCTGGGGAAGTAGTAATTGTAGTAAAGCCTCTGAACTGGAATGTGAAAGCTCCTTGATCAAGGCCATATAACTTCAAAGATTAGCTTTATATGAGGAAGTTTTGTGTGTCATTTTTAGGGGCACCTTGTAAAGTCCACCTGGCAAAGGGAGGTTAATCATAACACTGTGACTTCATCATGGTGTGCGCTTCTCTTTCGTTCTACAATCAATGCTAGCACATCAGCCATTACTCCTCGTAACTCCTCCAGCAGTGCCATGATAGCCCTCCTGGAGTTGGAAGCCATTTGAAAAGCTTTGTTAAGTGGACGTCTAAAAGTCTGTAGCCTGGCCAGCTAAGGGAAAGGGCAATCTGCAGCGATGAGAAAAGTATCCCCCATACATGCCATGCCTGCTGCTGGCTCCTTCCAGAGAGCCTGGTATGCAAAAGTCATTAGTCCTATTGGGATGAATGTACTGTATGCATGATGAGGCTATTAACAACTATAATGCTTCTCAACCACGCCAAGTATGACATTATGTGGTCCTCTGTAGCTCAGCTGGTAGAGCACGGCGCTTGTAACGCCAAGGTAGTGGGTTTGAACCCCGGGACCACCCATACACAAAAAAATGTATGCACGCATGACTGTAAGTCGCTTTGGATAAAAGCGTCTGCTAAATGGCATATTATTATGTCAATCTTGCAGCTCAACTCCCTGTGTGTTTTTCTCCCGTCGGCTGTTCCCGGCACGGGTCGCAGTTCCGGAGCGTTCCACTAGGTGTCCTTCTCCGACGACCTTATGCACCTTCTCACTCACCGTCTGGACTAATCATGATCCTATTGGTGTCACCTGTGTCTACCTGTTCACCTGTGTATTTATGCCCTCACTTCCCTGTGTTCCCTTGCTCAGTTTTCTCTGCTAGTTTCTCTGTGCTCAGCAGTACTAATCAGTGTCTGATCGGAGAAGTATGTACAGGTACTCGAGAAGTGTTCTCCCTGTTTCTTTATTATTTCAGTCGTAGTTACTATTTCGTAGTTTGGCTGTCAGCCTGTTTTTGGAGATTTATTTGCTCCACCTTTCTGTTATCGTGTTAAGTCCGTTGTTTTGTTTCTGGCTTCGGGACCACCAGTAAAGATCCTTGTTTCACCATCTCTGCCTACTGCCTACTGTCTATCCTGCACCGCACCTGGGTCACACCTCACACCAACCCTTACAAACAAAGCCCCAGGACCAGCTTGTTTAGGTGACTCTTCTCCAGGTTCATCTCTCTGTAGGTGATGGCTTTGTTATGGAAGGTTTGGGAATCGCTTCCTTTTAGGTGGTTATAGAATTTAACGGCTCTTTTCTGGATTTTGATAATTAGTGGGTATCGGCCTAATTCTGCTCTGCATGCATTATTTGGTGTTTAACGTTGTACATTGAGGATATTTTTGCAGAATTCTGCATGCAGAGTCTCAACTGATGTTTGTCCCATTTTGTGAATTCTTGGTTGGCGAGCGGACCCCAGACCTCACAACCATAAAGGGCAATGGCTTCCATAACTGATTCAAGTATTTTGTAGCCAGATCCTAATTGGTATGTTGAATTTTATGTTCCTTTTGATGGCGTAGAAGGCCCTTTTTGCCTTGTCTCTCAGATCATTCACAGCTTTGTGGAAGTTACCTGTGGCGCTGATGTTTAGGCCAAGGTATGTATAGTTTTTTGTGTGCTCTAGGGCAATGGTGTCTAGAGGGAATTTGTATTTGTGGTCCTAGCAACTGGGCCTTTTTTAGAACACCATTATTTTTGGGCCCAGGTCTGACTGAATATGTGCAGATGATCTAAATGCTGCTGTAGGCCCTCCTTGGTTGGTGACAGAAGCACCAGATCATCAGCAAACAGTAGACATTTGACTTCAGATTCTAGTAGGGTGAAGCCGGGTGCTGCAGACTGTTCTAGTGACCTCACCAATTCGTTGATATAAATGTTGAAGAGGGTGGTGCTCAAGCTGCATCCCTGTCTCACCCCACGGCCCTGTGGAAAGAAATGTGTGTGTTTTTTGCCAATTTTAACCGCACACTTGTTGTTTGTGTACATGGATTTTATCATGTTGTATGTTTTCCCCCCAACACCGCTTTCCATCAATTTGTATAGCAGACCCCAATGCCAAATTGAGTCAAAAGCTTTTTTGAAATCAACAAAGCATGAGACGACTTTGCCTTTGTTTTTGGTTTGTTTGTTTGTCAATTCGGGTGTGCAGGGTGAATACATGGTCTGTTGTATGGTAATTTGGTAAAAAGACAATTTGACATTTGCTCAGTACATTGTTTTCACTGAGGAAATGTACGAGTCGGCTATTAATGATAATTCAGAGGATTTCCAAGGTTGCTGTTGAGGCATATCCCACGGTAGTTACTGGGGTCAAATTTGTCTCCACTTTTGTGGATTGTGGTGATTAGTCCTTGGTTCCAAATATTGGGGAAGATGCCAGAGCTGAGGATGAAGTTAAGAGCCACGCTACTAATAAAGGCTCTGGGAAACACCTTGGCTACAAAAGATACATCGTAAGAAGGTTCTAACGATAATATTAACGCTATGAAGGCTCTGGGAAACACCTTGGCTACTAAAGATACATCGTAAGAAGGTTCTAACGATAATATTAACGCTATGAAGGCTCTGGGAAACACCTTGGCTACTAAAGATACATCGTAAGAAGGTTCTAACGATAATATTAACGCTATGAAGGCTCTGGGAAACACCTTGGCTACTAAAGATACATCGTAAGAAGGTTCTAACGATAATATTAACGCTACGAAGGCTCTGGGAAACACCTTGGCTACTAAAGATACATCGTAAGAAGGTTCTAACGATAATATTAACGCTACGAAGGCTCTGGGAAACACCTTGGCTACTAAAGATACATCGTAAGAAGGTTCTAACGATAATATTAACGCTATGAAGGCTCTGGGAAACACCTTGGCTACTAAAGATACATCGTAAGAAGGTTCTAACGATAATATTAACGCTACGAAGGCTCTGGGAAACACCTTGGCTACTAAAGATACATCGTAAGAAGGTTCTAACGATAATATTAACGCTATGAAGGCTCTGGGAAACACCTTGGCTACTAAAGATACATCGTAAGAAGGTTCTAACGATAATATTAACGCTATGAAGGCTCTGGGAAACACTGGCTACTAAAGATATGTGTGTGTGTCTGTGTCTGTGTGATGTAATGGTACTCTTTCACCTGAGGAGGATCTGTTTGCGTCCCGTCTCTCTACTGAGGTGGAATTTAACCCCAACCCAGTGGAGGAACTGTACACCCCAGCCAACAGCCAAATCTCCCCTGGGGCGTCCAGCGTGTGGAGGGAAAGGGCTCAGGGATCCCGTTTGCCTGCGTCCAAAATGGCAACCTATTCCTTTTTATAGTGCACTACTTTTGACATGGGCCCTAAGGGTAGTAGTGCTTTCCAAAGGGAGTAGGGTGCCATTTGGAACACACCCTAAGCCTGGCTAAAGAGGAGGGAGGTCCACTCCATCAGCCAACACCAAGCCAGAATGGAAAAACTGTACACCCACCCTAGCCTCTACTCAAGGCGGAGAGTGGCTGCGTTCCAAACTGCACTGCTTTTGACCAGGGCCTATAGAGTCTGGTCAAAAGCAGAGCACTATATAGGGAATAGGGAGCCATTTGGGACATATAGGGAATAGGGTGCCATTTGGGAAATATAGGGAATAGGGTGCTATTTGGGATATATAAGGAATAGGGTGCTATTTGGGATATATAAGGAATAGGGTGCTATTTGGGATATATAAGGAATAGGGTGCTATTTGGGATATATAAGGAATAGGGTGCTATTTTGGATATATAGGGAATAGGATGCTATTTGGGATTTATAGGGAATAGGGTGCCATTTGGGATGCATACAGTGTGTGATGGGGAGTGGATCTCTGATCTTTAATCCTTCTAAGCCAGGTTAAGGGATGGAGGAGGTCCTTCCATCAGCTAACTGTTCCTTTCCCTCCATGTTAACTTTTCCTGTCCCTCCATGTTAACTGTTCCTGTCCCTCCATGTTAACTGTTCCTGTCCCTCCATGTTAACTGTTCCTTTCCCTCCATGTTAACTGTTCCTGTCACTCCATGTTAACTGTTCCTGTCCCTCCATGTTAACTGTTCCTTTCCCTCCATGTTAACTGTTCCTGTCCCTCCATGTTAACTGTTCCTTTCCCTCCATGTTAACTGTTCCTGTCACTCCATGTTAACTGTTCCTGTCCCTCCATGTTAACTGTTCCTGTCCCTCCATGTTAACTGTTCCTTTCCCTCCATGTTAACTGTTCCTGTCCCTCCATGTTAACTGTTCCTGTCCCTCCATGTTAACTGTTCCTGTCCCTCCATGTTAACTGTTCCTTTCCCTCCATGTTAACTGTTCCTGTCACTCCATGTTAACTGTTCCTGTCCCTCCATGTTAACTGTTCCTGTCCCTCCATGTTAACTGTTCCTTTCCCTCCATGTTAACTTTTCCTGTCCCTCCATGTTAACTGTTCCTGTGACTCAATGTTAACTGTTCCTGTCTCTATATGTTAACTGTTCCTGTCTCCATGTTAACTGTTCCCTCCATGGTAACTGTTCCTTTCCCTCCATGTTAACTGTTCCTGTCCCTCCATGTTAACTGTTCCTGTCCCTCCATGTTAACTGTTACTGTCCCTCCATGTTAACTGTTCCTTTCCCTCCATGTTAACTGTTATTTTTTCCTCCATGTTAACTGTTCCTGTCCTCCATGTTAACTGTTCCTGTGACTCCATGTTAACTGTTCCTGTCTCTATATGTTAACTGTTCCTGTCTCCATGTTAACTGTTCCTGTCCCTCCATGGTAACTGTTCCTGTCCCTCCATGTTAACTGTTCCTGGCCCTCCATGTTAACTGTTCCTGTCCCTCCATGGTAACTGTTCCTGTCCCTCCATGTTAACTGTTCCTGTCCCTCCATATTAACTGTTCCTGTCCCTCCATGTTAACTGTTCCTTTCCCTCCATGTTAACTTTTCCTGTCCCTCCATGTTAACTGTGCCTGTCCCTCCATGTTAACTTTTCCTGTCCCTCCATGTTAACTGTTCCTGGCCCTCCATGTTAACTGTTCCTGTCCCTCCATGTTAACTGTTCCTGTCCCTCCATGTTAACTGTTCCTGTCCCTCCATGTTAACTGTTCCTGTCCCTCCATGCTAACTGTTCCTGTCCCTCCATGTTAACTGTTCCTGGCCCTCCATGTTAACTGTTCCTGTCCCTCCATGTTAACTGTTCCTGTCCCTCCATGTTAACTTTTCCTGTCCCTCCATGTTAACTGTTCCTGTCCCTCCATGTTAACTGTTACTGTCCCTCCATGTTAACTGTTACTGTCCCTCCATGTTAACTGTTCCTTTCCCTCCATGTTAACTGTTATTTTTTCCTCCATGTTAACTGTTCCTGTCCTCCATGTTAACTGTTCCTGTGACTCCATGTTAACTGTTCCTGTCTCTATATGTTAACTGTTCCTGTCTCCATGTTAACTGTTCCTGTCCCTCCATGGTAACTGTTCCTGTCCCTCCATGTTAACTGTTCCTGGCCCTCCATGTTAACTGTTCCTGTCCCTCCATGGTAACTGTTCCTGTCCCTCCATGTTAACTGTTCCTGTCCCTCCATGTTAACTGTTCCTGTCTCCATGTTAACTGTTCCTGTCCCTCCATGTTAACTGTTCCTATCCCTCCATGTTAACTGTTCCTGTCCGTCCATGTTAACTGTTCCTGTCCGACCATGTTAACTGTTCCTGTCCCTCCATGTTAACTGTTCCTGTCCCTCCATGTTAACTTTTCCTGTCCCTCCATGTTAACTGTTCCTGTCCGTCCATGTTAACTCTTCCTGTCCCTCCATGTTAACTTTTATTGTCCCTCCATGTTAACTGTTCCTATCCCTCCTTGTTTACTTTTCATGTCCCTCCATGTTAACTGTTCCTGTCCCTCCATGTTAACTGTTCCTGTCCCTCCATGTTAACTGTTCCTGTCTCCATGTTAACTGTTCCTGACCCTCCATGTTAACTGTTCCTGTCTCCATGTTAACTGTTCCTGACCCTCCATGTTAACTGTTCCTGTCTCCATGTTAACTGTTCCTGTCCCTCCATGTTAACTTTTCCTGTCCCTCCATGTTAACTGTTCCTATCCCTCCATGTTAACTGTTCCTGTCCGTCCATGTTAACTGTTCCTGTCCGACCATGTTAACTGTTCCTGTCCCTCCATGTTAACTGTTCCTGTCCCTCCATGTTAACTGTTCCTGTCCCTCCATGTTAACTTTTCCAGTTCCTCCATGTTAACTGTTCCTGTCCCTCCATGTTAACTGTTCCTGTCCGTCCATGTTAACTCTTCCTGTCCCTCCATGTTAACTTTTACTGTCCCTCCATGTTAACTGTTCCTGTCCCTCCTTGTTTACTTTTCATGTCCCTCCATGTTAACTGTTCCTGTCCCTCCATGTTAACTGTTCCTGTCCCTCCATGTTAACTGTTCCTGTATCCATGTTAACTGTTCCTGACCCTCCATGTTAACTGTTCCTGTCTCCATGTTAACTGTTCCTGACCCTCCATGATAACTGTTCCTGTCTCCATGTTAACTGTTCCTTTCCCTCCATGTTAACTCTTCCTGTCTCCATGTTAACCGTTCCTGACCCTCCATGTTAACTGTTCATGTCTCCATGTTAACTGTTCCTGACCCTCCATGTTAACTGTTCCTGTCCCTCCATGTTAACTGTTCCTGTCTCCATGTTAACTGTTCCTGTCCCTCCATGTTAACTGTTCCTGTCTCCATGTTAACTGTTCCTGTCCCTCCATGTTAACTGTTCCTGTCCCTCCATGTTAACTGTTCCTGTCCCTCCATGTTAACTTGTCCAGTCCCTCCATGTTAACTGTTCCTGTCCCTCCATGTTAACTGTTCCTGTCCCTCCATGTTAACTGTTCCTTTCCCTCCATGTTAACTGTTCCTTTCCCTCCATGTTAACTGTTCCTGTGACTCAATGTTAACTGTTCCTGTCTCTATATGTTAACTGTTCCTGTCTCCATGTTAACTGTTCCCTCCATGTTAACTGTTCCTGTGTCTTCATGTTAACTGTTCCTGTGTGTTCATGCTAACTGTTCATGTCCCTCCATGTTAACTGTGCCTGTCCCTCCATGTTAACTGTTCCTGTCTCTATATGTTAACTGTTCCTGTCTCTATGTTAACTGTTCCCTCCATGTTAACTGTTCCTGTGTCTTAATGTTAACTGTTCCTGTGTGTTCATGCTAACTGTTCATGTCCCTCCATGTTAACTGTGCCTGTCCCTCCATGTTAACTGTTCATGTAACTCCATGTTAACTGTTCCTGTCCCTCCATGTTAACTGTTCCTGTCCCTCCATGTTAACTGTTCATTTCCCTCCATGTTAACTTTTCCTGTCCCTCCATGTTAACTATTCCTGTCCCCCCATGTTAACTTGTCCTGTCCCTCCATGTTAACTGTTCCTGTCCCTCCATGATAACTGTTCCTGTCCCTCCATGTTAACTTTTACTGTCCCTCCATGTTAACTGTTCCTGTCCCTCCATGTTAACTGTTCCTGTCCCTCCATGTTAACTGTTCCTGTCCCTCCATGTTAACTGTTCCTGTCCCTCCATGTTAACTGTTCCTGTCCCTCCATGTTAACTGTTCCTGTCCCTCCATGTTAACTGTTCATGTCCCTCCATGTTAACTGTGCCTGTCCCTCCATGTTAACTGTTCATGTAACTCCATGTTAACTGTTCATGTCCCTCCATGTTAACTGTGCCTGTCCCTCCATGTTAACTGTTCATGTAACTCCATGTTAACTGTTCCTGTCCCTCCATGTTAACTGTTCCTGTCCCTCCATGTTAACTGTTCCTTTCCCTCCATGTTAACTCTTCCTGTCCCTCCATGTTAACTTGTCCTGTCCCTCCATGTTAACTGTTCCTGTCCCTCCATGATAACTGTTCCTGTCCCTCCATGTTAACTTTTACTGTCCCTCCATGTTAACTGTTCCTGTCCCTCCATGTTAACTGTTCCTGTCCCTCCATGTTAACTGTTCCTGTCCCTCCATGTTAACTGTTCCTGTCCCTCCATGTTAACTGTTCCTGTCCCTCCATGTTAACTGTTCCTGTCCCTCCATGTTAACTGTTCCTGTCCCTCCATGTTAACTGTTCCTTTCCCTCCATGTTAACTGTTCCTGTCCCTCCATGTTAACTGTTCCTGTCCTTCCATGTTAACTGTTCCTGTCCGTTCATGTTAACTGTTCCTGTCCCTCTCAGCAAGGCTTTTCCTTCCCCAGCCCTTCCCCAGCCCTTCCCCAGCCCTGTTCCTATCCGCCTGGGCAGATGTCCCTCTCATTTGGGCCTGGTTGGAATGGAAATGGACACATCTGGGGAGAGGGACTGGGTCCATGGAGGAAAGGAGGGAGGTGTGGGAAGAGGAGAGAGACCAATCACTAGTCCTGTATTTTAACAGGGTGGGGAGATGAAAGACAGCTTCCAAGTTCATCCACAACTCTGAGATAACTTCTACTACTCCCACATCTTATCCATGTCACACACACAGCATATGCTGTACTATCCTTGTGGGGACCTAAAATGTATTTCCATTAAAAATCCTATTTCCCCTAACCCCTAACCCCTAACCCTAACCCCTAACCCTAACCCCTAACCCTAACCCCTAACCCCAACTCCTAAACCCTAACCCCAAACCCTAACCCCTAACCCCAACCCCTAACCCCTAACCCTAACCCTAACCCCTAAACCCTAACCCCTAACCCCTAACCCCTAGAGATTTCCAGTATCTGAGAGGATAGTCATACAAGCCCACAGACACACAGACTCTCTCACACACACACACACACACACACACAGACACACACACACACACACACACACACACACACACAGACTCACACACACACACACACACACACACACACACACACAGACACACACACACACACACACACACACAGACTCACACACAGACACACACACACACACACACACACACACACACAGACAAACACACACACACACAGAGACACACACACACACACACACACACACAGACTCACACACACACACACACACACACACAGACACACACACACAGACACATACACACACACACACACTCATACTCATTGAAGTCCATGGAATGTGGAAGACAACATGAATGGGAGATACATTCCTGAATAAGGCCAAAAAAGATAACTGAACTGAACTGAAGTTACCCCATCTAAGGAGAGCTCATCTATGGAAATGTCAACAGATTTCATTTCTGAGATATTCCATGCTGTCTACCCACTCTATTAGCCTATCCACACACATCTCAATAGGAAGCAATATGCATAGTTGATCAATTCCTATTTATGATATATTATAAACTTTGTTAAAGCCCACAAACGACCCATCATTGTCATGACAAATAGATAAAATCCTATTTTTGGGGGGGAATTTCACTCTGGCAATGGGGGATTACGCATTTGGCACGCATTTGGCACGCTCTACATTAACTGATCTCGCGCATAACGGAGTGCCTTAACTGCCATCAAAAACCATTTCCTCACCAATCTAGCATATCAACCAAAAGAGTATGAAAACTAATTTTTTTTAAACACACCACGACTTACTGTTTTCAGGCGGCCCTTGGACCATGTTGAACTTGTATATTTCTTTGGCATAATATTCGGTCTCCGTGTTGTCTTGGCCACAACTTTGCTGCCGGTCTCTCCCCAACTCCTCAAGCAACTCCCGGGTACTGTTATACAAGGCCTGGATCTGGTAGGGGATCTGACTGGGTCCCAGGGAGTGTGGCGGGCTGGTCGTCCGGAGCTTACTCAGTATCTGTCCCCGTATCGCCTCGACCCTTTTCCGCTTCACATGGTCTATATCTACGGTAGCGCATGTTGAGAAAGATAGACTTGTGGTCGCGCAGTTTAAGAGTAGGACAAACAGAAGAGCTTTACCCAGATACATGTTTCTGTTTCTCTCTGATGCATTTGGTTTAGGAAGCACTTCGAATAATAACAGATTAATGACGGATTCACATGTGACTATTTCCCATGGTTCCTACGCGTAAAAATATATGTTCAAAACGTTTCAAATCAAAAGCAGTCTCCTAACTAACTTTTCTCTTTACTTGTATTTGTCTGCCTCATACGCATACGTCCTCTCCCGAGGAAACACCTTTCTGTTGGTTTGTGATCCAGAGATATCCAGGTAGGTATTCGCCCATCACACATCATTCGCCCAGCCTTTCCAAAGAAATGAATTCCCCAGCGCGCGTCAAACCTAAACTCTCCCCAGCACAGTAACGGTCTCCATCACCGTTATAGTAACTGAACGCCTACAGTCGCTTTACTGTTCTTTCTCATTCTTGTATTTAACTATTTTCTTTCACTTATGTCGCCCGACTCACCCCACAACTCTGCATCCTTCCTTTTTTTAAATTTGTCTTTCTCATTAACAACTTCGAGCTTGCCTCTGACCCGTACGCATCCTGACGCGACTGTGCCTGGCTGCAGTCACTTTGCCGAGCTACGCGCATTCAGCACGGGCTCACGTTTGTTTTATACGGAATGCTGTGACGTCTCGATGGAGGAGGGACCGCACGTTATCCCATGATCGTTATATTATAGACGTCTATATATAGGCATTGGTTGAAGTTCAGTGTTAAATTAAAAATCTCCCTACCATCATATTTAAGCCAAAATGACACCAATCTTGATGAAAATTCACAAATCAACTTGATTGGAGGAACACAACACACTCCCCGCCTCTGGTCATGAGCCGTCAATCCATTACCGAGAACCACATGTCAGCATTAGGGTTGTCAGAATAGTTTTTGCACAGAACTAGCTCAGTATCTAGGCATTGGATAAGAACGAGACTAAAGAGTTCATAAAGTCACCATTAGACTTGCCACCTTTCGGACTGAATAGGTTTGTAGAGGCAACAGTTTTGATTACATTTACAATATTATCCTCTCACATGTATATTTTTTTTGTCCATTAAGAACCAACAATGTGCTACCTTTTTGTAGCATTCTGACAATGCTAACATATTTTCAGAGGAATCTCATAGTTCTAATACCAGTCGGTTGCTCGGCAACAACACAGCAACGTAGCTGACTCCATTCTGTACATATGTGGGCAACCGCGGCCTTCAACCAGGGTGTGAACTAAGTTTCCGTTCAGCGTTGATTGACATGGTAATGGAACAATAGTATTGGAGAAAAGTTGAAAAAACGGACCCCGCTGACGCTGTACGTTAAAGTGTGACATGTCACGACGTAACGTACGGCACGCATTATTCAAGTCATTCTGAGCCGTACAGCCTCTTTCCACCAGGTGTAGCGCTTCTCTCGCAGATTAAAAACAAGAAATTATCAATGGGGAGTGTAACGGTTAGTGTAAAGTTAATTACTCGTGAGTTCATCAATAGTTAATTTAATAAATTGTTAATTTTTCGTGTAATCACTGATTCTCAAAAACCGTGACACCCACAGTTTAATTGTGAAGAGAAATTTAGCCCCGCCCTAAAAACCCTATTCAAATTCGACACAAACCTTCAAATAGGTATGTAATGAGACATTATACAAACTCTTTATAGTGTTTTATTTAAATTTTAGAGGTGATAAGTTGGACAAATCAGGTGAAAAAAGCTAGTTCCCCACACAACATATCTCCCCCTTTCACCATGATGCAGTAGCTTTCGCTTCCACACCCCGCCATTTTTAAAAAGACCCGGCGGAGCTCCATCGCTTTCTTCAATCATGCAGAGATGGGCAGCATGAAGGTCTCATCATTGATTTTGCTGGAAAGGGGAGAAATTGTGCTTTACAATGGTTTTCATATTACAGTTGACCTGGAAGTATTACGTTTTGGGAGCGCTAAAATAAGGTAAAATGTACGGAACAGCGTGAAGTACAAAAGTTCCCTTCACTGGAACTAAGGGGCCTAGCCTGAACCATGAAAAACAGCCCCAGACCATTATTCCTCCTCCGCCAAACTTTACAGTTGGCACTATGCTTTGGGGGCAGGTAGCATTCTCCTGGCATCCGCCAAACCCAGATTTGTCCGTTGGACTGCCAGATGGTGAAGTGTGATTCATCACTCGAGAACGTGTTTCCACTGCTCCAGAGTCCAATGGCGGCGAGTTTTACACCACTCCAGCCGACGCTTGGCATTGCACGTGGTGATCTTAGGCTTGTGTGCGGCTGCTCGGCCATGGAAACCCATTTCATGAAGCTCCCGACTAACAGTTATTGTGCTGACGTTGCTTCCAGAGGCAGTTTGGAACTCGGTAGTGAGTGTTGCGACCGAGGACAAACGATTTTTACGCGCTACGCTCTTCAGCACTCGGCGGTCCCGTTCTGTGAGCTTGTGTGGCCTACCACTTCACGAAAGTCACTGGGCTCTTCAGTAAGGCCATTATACTGCCAATTTTTGGAGATTGCATGGCTGTGTTTTCCGATTTAATACATCTGTCAGCAACGGGTGTGGCTGAAATAACAGAATCCACTAATTTGAAGGGGTGTCTACATACTTAACTATATATAATAGTGTACATTTGGTTGTAAATGTTATATTTAGTAATAACACAGCATCATTATTATTATACAACATTATAATACAACTTAACAGCAATAAAAGTTAAGTAAAACTAAACAGAAATAATGTAGTTGTTAGTATGTATTTATTATTAACAGTTGATTTTCCAGAGGGAAGCGAAAAACTAGAAATCCATTTAAGCCAATATGGAGTAAACTGGAAAAATGTTCCTTGATCTCTCTTAAGACAATCGAGCAAGCTCATCGAAAATACACAATTAACTATTTACATGAACATGTATCTTTATTGAAGAAAGGCCTAGTCCTGCATTACCTCTAAACGAAGGTGAGTTAAGTTGTATTATAATGTTGTGTAATAATATTGTATAATCACCTTCAGGTGTAAAAACCACAGAAATTAAAAACAAAAAACTAGGCATTGGTCTGAAGCCGAAAATAAAATAAAGTCACGAGGACCACAGTACCCATTCCACCCATGCTCTTCCAGGGTTTTCCAGCACACAGCTTTGACCTACTACAGTAGCTATGTTGGTATTGTACATTTTAAAATTAAAAATTTTAGTCATTTAGCAGACGCTCTTATCCAGTGCGACTTACAGGTAGTGACTGCATACATTCAAACCAGTGTTTGTGTGTGTGTATATATATATGCATTCGGAAAGTATTCAGACCCCTTCGCTTTTTCCACATTTTGTTACGTTACAACCTTATTCAAAAATTGATGAAATACATCGACAGATTTTTCACCTAGTCGGCTCGGGGATTAGAACCAGCGACCTTTCGGTTACTGGCACAACGCTCCTAACCACTAAGCTTGTGGGAGCACCACCTCTATGAGTATGAATTAGGCTGTTTGAGGAGGTTTGAATCCTAAGCAACCTGCCTGCACATAGTTTGAAGTACAATACCAACACAGCTACTGTAGTAGGTCAAAGCTGTGTGCTGGAAAACCTTGGTGGAGCATGGGTGGAATAGGTACTGTGGTGCTCCTGTGTATTTCCTTTCTTTTTCGTCTTCAGACCAACCTATTCTCACTTACAACTTAGTTCTTTTTTTATTTAGAACTCACATCTCAGATATGACCTATTAGCCTCTCATATCAACAGAATGTGTCATATGTAAACCTAAAAGTATATATTTTTTACCTTTTAAAGTGCAAAAGTTTAGTGTAATTTGGTACTACCTTTTCAAGGACCAAGTGTTGCCTGCTTGAGCCTATTTTGAAAGCATACAAATGGTATCAATTAAAAATGGAAATGTCTCATGATTTGTAATGGAGATTTTATTGATCTGATCGTATTATTTATTGCTAGATGAAAAATGTCAGAAGCAGCATCTTCAATGAACTTGGTAATGACTGTGGCACCATGACCTGCTGCTTCCTATCCCTTTGGAATAGACAGCCCTCACTCTAGTGGGAAATCAAATGTAAAATGTAAATGTAAAATCAAAACTATTGCACATACAAACGTATGACACAAATCAGGCCCAGAAACGTCCACCCATCCCTGTCCTATCCTTGTTCTCCCTGATCAAAATAGTATTTCATTTAGAAGCATTTATTTCATTTTTTAATTTCTGCTGGTACACCCATTTGAACCCTACTGGATGAATAATGAAATGATACAAGACCCAGTCACTTGCTCTGTTCCTCTCTGGAATCTGGGCCACGGAGGATGGAGGGACTTGGTCCCCCAACAGCTGAACCCAAGCCAAAGTGTGCATCCCAAATGGCACCCTCTTCCCTTTATAGTGCACTACTTTTGACCACGGCCCATAGGGGTTTCATAGGACTCTGGTCAAAAGTAGTGCACTATACAGGGAATAGGGTGTTATTTGGGACTCACATATTCCCCTTTACTAGGAATTCCAGGCACTTTATTATTGCATTGGAGAGAGTTCCCAAATAAGTCCAGCTTCCTCCTCTGTCCCGTCAGGATTCCCGTGCCCTCAGCAACCACAACCCGCGCTCCAGCATGTTGTCCCTCGTCCACCCGACCAGAAACGGTTTATTTGCAGCGCCTTATTTACAGAGCAGCATTGTTTAATCTTTATTCCTAAAATATACTGTATCAACTGGCTGGTTGCATTTACAGAACCCCTCTAGGGTCAAAGGTTAGATATAACTGCGGTCTAGACCCAATCATGGGTCTGGAATGGTATTTCACTAGCTATAACATTTCCCCCCAATGTGCATAGTGATATCAAGCATGTCCTAATAAGGTAAGATATACAGTGGGGAGAACAAGTATTTGATACACTGCCGATTTTGCAGGTTTTCCTACTTACAAAGCATGTAGAGGTCTGTAATTTTTATCATAGGTACACTTCAACTGTGAGAAACGGAATGTAAAACAAAAATCCAGAAAATCACATTGTATGATTTTTAAGTAATTCATTTGCA